AATTCTCATATATGGACGTACAGACAGGCACACAACGAAGTTTATATAGAGCATTTGAAAATGTATGTCAAAATCGTAATATATGATAAGATCCAGAAATGGTTTCCGAAAAATGCCCATAGTAGACTAAACCATAAAGTAAAACTGCACCAGTCATATTTTAATCAGAGCTTTGGACTGATGTAAAAGAAAAAGAAAAAAGAAAAGAAAAGCGCTTTTAAAAAAATAAAGACAGAAAAACGACAGTTAGGGAGTGAATATATACAAAAGACAGATATTTTTCAGTTACGAAAAACAACAAGAAAATATAAAGAGACCCAAATAGATGCTTAGGTAGGGTATGGGCAGAAAACCCTCCTGAATTCTGGAGTTAGGTAAACAATCTCTAGAAAAAACAGTTTAGAAAATATATAGTGCGTTATTGTGTTACCGACTGGCTGAATGACAATAACTTACGAGCGGACGACCAAAATGGTTTTAGAAAACAGAGATCATGTCTTTGCATTCAACGGCATTGTTAAACCAACACACAGGTGTTTGCATCCTTTATTGACCTTCAAAAATATTTTATTACGTATATAGAGATATATCATGCTGTATAAGTTATTGATAAATGGGGTAAATGGAAAATTTTACCGAGTGATGAAAAATATTTACCATAAAACATCTGCTTGTGTTGTAATGACACCATCTGGTTCAACTGTCCTACTGGTGTGAGGCAAGGCGACAATATTTCGCCAACTTTATCCTCCTAGTAAGAACCAGGGGCGCGTATCTCGAAAGCCTCGCGCATTGCGACCGTGCGCAAGCGCCTCGATTCCATAACTCGCCCGTACTCACCCCATATAATACATTGTATATTTGATATAGCGATTCGCAATACGCGATGCTTTCGAGATACGGGGCCCAGGGTTATTTGAATTTTTTTTTTTTTTTTTTTTTTTTTTTTTTTTTTTTTTTTTTTTTTTTTTTTTTTTGGGGGGGGGGGGGTCCGGAACGACAGGCCTCGGAATTGAAGCTGATCATCGGCCGCTTGGCGAGGGGTTCGGGGCCTGCCCAAGAGCCCCGAAAAAGACGGTGTTTTGGAGAGCAAAAAGTGCCCTTTGGTGCCGTTTAGAACTATGATTTAACTGGTCAATGTCCTAATTTCAAGAGAGAAATATCGGTGTGATATATTTTTCAGAAAACGAAAGGGGTGTCAGGACCCCCTGCCCCTCCCTCTAATTCCGCCACTGAGTAGGCCTACTAGTTACAACACGAGTAGTACAATGTATGCGACAAATAGGGGAGTAATTATACTGAAGCGCAACCAAGATATAATTTGCTCTTGTATGTCGCATACAGTGGATAACGAGTAGTTGTAACTGACTCATACCACGGCTGGTGCTTCGAACAATAGGACGAACGCACCAAATCGTATGAAAATACAAACAAGCCTGCACAAGTGCAATTATCCTTTTGTTCGAAGCGCCAGTCAAGGTAGAAATGAAATTCGTGATCTAGGAGCTGGAATAACGTATGAGGACAACCAAATGTCAGTTCCACTATACACGTCATTGTACTGGATGTACCTTCAGCACAGGTGCTGACGCTGGAAGGCAACTCATACTGCAAAGAAATTGAAATTTGTTCCCTATATTAGCCTACGCTTCAACGCCAGGGGCGGATTTAGGCCGTCTTCTTTGTCTTCCAGAAGGCGGTCAGAGTTTCAAGTTAACATTGACGGGTATCCATTTTTCTGTCGCAAGACGGTCAGAAATGGAGGATGGATCAACAAAGGTAATTTGGAGACTGTCAGAAAATTCTCTGGGTCCGCCTCTAAATGTAAAGGTTTCTGATCATACTAGTCCATAAGGTCTGCCTGGAAGATACGCTAAAATTAAACATTCCGTTCCATTTTTGGGACTGTAAGGGCGTATTCCCATAGATTTTAGATCGATCTATCCCCGTGGGGAGTCTCACTAGATTACTGTCAGATAAACCCCAGATATCCAAAAGTTATTACCATTGGGTCCGCTTACTTCATATTCCTCGCCATTATGTCACGACTTGAACACTAATTGGGACTTTTTACTATCAATGTGGTACATTGACCAGCAGTCAAATTGACAGAAGCAGTCAAATTGACACGTAGGCCTACTCTCTTGTGACCTTGACCGTTACTTTCGTAGGAAAACTTGGAGAGCGCTGCTCAGAAGTCAAGCCAGTCCTTTCACATTAGCCTTGTTATCGGCGATAGAACAAAGAGTTATGATTTTTACTGGCAACTTATGAAAAATTAAAATATTAAGTATGACTAGCGGTCTTCAATATTTGTTATTCTACACGTTTTAAACAAAATCTATAAACATAAATAACGCTCACAATTATGTAAATGGTTTGAAACGATAATGAGGGACACATATAAGTTAGGAGATAAGTTCACTTTGCGGTCCGCGGTATACTAAAAGCTGTTACATGGGAATATAACTGAATTGTACAAGGTGCCATGTACCAGAAAGTCCCCCGTGACAGAGAGTCCGCTACCCATTACTTCGGGTAAGCCTCGCCCTAGATTTTGACCCACTTAGGTCAGACTAACCCTAACCATTATAACTGTACGGAGAGCGGACTTTCTGTCACACGGAACCTCAGTTTCGTGACACTGGTGTGACAGAATGGTAGTCCTAGGCATTATAAGTACAGGTTAGGGTGATTTCCCAGAGATTTAGATCGATCTAAAGATTAAGTTTTAGATCGACCTAACTCCCTGGGGGTTCACGCTAAATTGCAGTCAACCGAGCGGGCACCATAGTTAATTACCCCCTTACAGCTTTTAGTAGGCGGGACAGACGCTTAAGCCGGCCAAGCTGACAGTAATCTAGTGAGACTCCCCACAGGGATAGATCGATCTAAAAATCTATGGAAATGGGGTGTTAGGGTTAGTTGGAGTATTGGGGTTATAGTACATGGGACCTGCACAAAGTAATGGGGGACTGACTACGGATCCTAGCGGACTACCATTCCTGTCACACCGGCCGCTGTTGAGGGGAAGTGGCATCGTTCTGCCTGTGCTAAAATGATTGGGCATAATTCTCATTTTGTATTGTTATATCTCCATGCGGTGTAAGATACTTGGAGAATTGGATTGCAATTATGATGACAGAGAAGAGTCATCTAAAATAGTGATATGTTTAATTGTAAATAAACCTAAGGATAAGGCACGATATTTAAGGAATAGATTAGTTTAAGGCGGTCAGTTCGATTCAGAATCCAAAAGTTCAATATACCATAAATTATGTTAGTGTGTTTGCTTTTATTTATAACATATAATCTTTATCTTATGTTTTTTATGTACAAAATTCGGTGACTTGAAGGCCAATGATACTTTTATATTCACGCCACTTTAATTAAAATAAAAAATTAAAATTAATGCTATTTAAAACAATACGTTGGAAACAAGAGAGGTGTGTGTTAATCTGATTGCATTCAGCAAGGTCCCGGGGAGATGGATCGCTCTACTCTGAACAGTGGAGACCTCTGTGGACACATTTGTCACGTGCCCAAGAAGACCTAAACTGTTCTGCAAATGTTCAACCTCAGTCAGCAGCATTAATCAGCACGCGGTATATAATTACTCACGGGCTGCTCGAGGGCATGTCAGATAATTAATTTGATTACATTGACTGCTTTTAACGAAAATCCCCGCAGAGATGGATCGATCCAGCTGGTGCGATGTCTGAATCTAAATGCTCCCATTGAGAATAAGCCATAAATGTGACCTTTTGTACGCGTTGGTTATTATGAAAGTAAGCTAGTTGTATTTTTTCGTGAAAATTATAGAGTTGGATGTATGCTCCCCTTCCAAAAAGTCTTACCCTCCCCGCATTCATGTAATGAGAGGCAATATAAGGATGTGAGCAGTAGTGTATAAAACGATTCTAGGACAATACCCCCCGGACAATTCCCCCCGGACGATCCCCCCCCCCCAAGAAATATATATATATATACAATATAAAGTGTAAAGTTTAAAATAATTCATCCATTTTATTAATATTTTTAGTGTTATAATATAACTTCATCATGAAACAAATAATTTTATAACAAATTCCATTTTAATTAAGTACAAGTACAGGAAGATTTATTAAGTATCTAATCGAAGTATAACCACCTATCCTTCAGGTAAAAGTGGGGTAAACAGATGAAAAGGTAAACAGATATTTTATAAATATTTTAGTGTGGTGGGTGGTGGTCAAGCAATTAAAAGTGACAAAAAGTCACAGGGATATTTGGATATGAGAGAAAATCTGTTTATCCCACCTCTCCCTAGAGATGCACCTTGATTCAAGACTTACTGAATCAAGGGGGGGGGGGGGAGAAATAAAGCAATTAAAAGTAACAGTTAATTCATCAAAGGGCTACCTGGATGAGTGAGATTATCTGTTTACCCCTCCTTTACCTGGAGATATGTATACTTTGATCAGATTTTTAATAAAATGTTCTGTACTTCTATCTGGAAATTTTCATGTACTTGTACTCCTTGAAAGGAAATTGTTTAATAAAATTAATATTATCTATCCTCGATTTGCATCATCACACTAAGAAATATTCAGAAAATGGATGAAAAGATTTGAACTTTTATATTTGTATATAAATATATATATATTCTTCAGGGGGGGGAATCGCCCGGGGGGGAATAGTCCGGGGGGGGGGGGAATTGTCCTGATACCGTATAAAACTGTCTAGCGAGGCCATTTAAAACAGAAATGGATAACATTTTACCACATTTCAAATGTCTTCCTTTGTTGTGCAGCTTTTGATGAAGTTAATAAAAGAACTGATACCACAAAGACACTAAAGAAATTATAAAGCGCTATTAAGATATGCTTAAAATCTGTTAGTTATTATTATTCAGAAAAATAGGAAAACATCGAAAAAAATTGCAATTACAATCATTTGATGCGATCTCTCGTTGTTGTGACATCTTTCTCTACTCAATCATAAAATACAATTCAATTAAGGATTCTTATAGAAATGAGATATTTATTTTCTTTTGGCAAGATATTTTGCACTATTGTTTCACGTGTGACAGTAAAAGCCATGATATCCTGGTATGTTGCCTTAAAACGACGGTATAAAAAGTCTTTCTGTAGTCTTCAAAGGTACTCACAAAATGGCGTTCACCTGGGCAAAACATTTCAAAGTAACTCGAAAAATGAAAAAAAAAAAAAAGATCTTGTTGATAAAAATGCAAATGTAATACTACAATTCACAATTTATTTATGTTGGCAAACAAGTGTCCCTTACACAATGTCTTTCAATGGTAACGCCATGAGGACTTCTACCTTTTGTCTTGTACGGTACCCCATTATCACCTACATGCCACTTAAGAAACAAAAGTAAAAGCCTTTATATTACTTGCCAATATATGCGTAGACACATGATAAAGGTCAAATACTACATTTTCATCACCTTATAACTTAAAGAAAAGAAAAAAAATCAGATAAAATCTGTACAAAATTTCACATTCAATAATAACACAGATGTACCTTGTTAAATACATCCAGTGGACCCTGTTTTAGTTTGTACAAATAGATACAAATAGATACAATTTACATACAATATTACACTCTCTATAATACAACAGCACCTTCAATGCTAACATTCACCAGGTCTTGTTCCACTAATAAACCTGATAAATTAATCAGTCATTAGCTCATTCAAACCTGAATCAATCTAAGTACAAAATAAAGCACATAAGCAAAGAAGTCTCTTGTACCTCCTTGATTTAAGTAACCAAAATTTCATGTCATGTTGTTCACTAAAATTCATAAATAAAACATTTACATACAGAACTGAGTAGAAAAGATGCAACTTGTGAGTTATAAAGACAACGTGTAACTTGGGTTTATTTGTATATAGTCAACTGGCATGTCAAAGCCCGGTTCTTGTAAAATAGTTGGCATTACTGGACTGTAAAATTCTTGGGTAAACATATAATAGTCCAATAAGTAATATGCTAAAAACTGACATCAAGAAACTTCATTTAATATATTGTAACACATCAGTAATCTATACTAAGAACAGCTCTATACGCAGTGCTGGGTAAATCACTTCCATCAAAAAAGTTTTCAGACCTACAAATACTACAAATAAGTTAAAGAAGCCACATATAAATATACAAAACTCCAGTTAAACAAAACGTTGTGTTTGGAATTGCACATTAAAAAGATGATTTTTTTCTTACCATTAAGTTCCCAAGGACAGACATGGATGTGTAATCCCCAGAAGAAAATTGTGAAGAAAAAACATCCGAGCTCTGCTCCTTACATTTCTCACCTAACTTCCATAGCAACCAAAACAATGGAACATAAATATTATCCTAGGAACTGAAAGCCTGACATTGATGGTTTTAAGCTTCCTTTCAACAGTGAACGCTACAATAATGTATGCTAATGCTATTCATAAATTTCAAACCCTGTACACGACTTCTCTCTGTACCCTGACGGTGGGAGAAAAATAACATGAAACAATACTGACTTGGTATACATTCAGTATAAACTGTATATGATTGAAATCTTGGGAACTGTATTTGCTTTTCTTCAAGACAACCGCTTTCAGTAATCAACATAATATAATCTCAAATTCCATTTCTTTTTACGTTATTAATTACATGATTTTTTTGTTTCGTTTTGTTTCTTTATACACAAAAATATTAACTGTTAAACCTTCACAAGAAAGAAACCATTCTATTCGCATTTCAGAACTTCTCCATTTTCAATATTCCAGCAATGTCATCATATCCCTATGGTGGCCATAATTCCCACAGCAGAAAAATGACATTTCTGAAAAGTTCAGGAAAACGAGTCCTGCAGAGAGAAGGCCAACCGTTCAACTCACTTAAATGGCAAAGAGCTGTAGATAGTGTTCCAAGTAATTTGACCACATGTCGTGTTATGAATACAGCTTCAAAATGCATGCTGAGCTACAATAGGTATTCTGCTTACAATCTGACCAAGACAATAGTCACAAAGAAGAAGCTTCAGTAAGGATATCAGCTTATGTGATGTTAGTTTTCCATTCAATTCAAGAAGTTCCCATCATACAATGACAGCAGTTTTTACAGAAATAATAGTTTACAATGCTACATTCAGAACACATCTGGTGTTGTCATGGTAACTACATGGTCCAAAAGAAGACTTACATTGGATCCAATAACAAGCTCCCCCTTTTGAAATAAAAAATGTCCTTGTATTTTTTTCAAACCTTGTACCTTCCAATAGCACTTCTCCCCAAATCGGCAAATGAAGCCTCTTTAACATGGTATTTCCTCAACATAAGAGGATTTCCCTTCATTCTTGGTACGAAACTAGGTTGCATCTCTTACTATGTGTTCCATCACACAGAAGTAACCACTGAAGGCTTTTTAAGGATCTACCAGAACACCCGTAACAATAGCCACCATGTGTATTCCACACCAGTGGACCTAAACGCAACAGCAGGCCCCTGACAAATGACGCCACATCTGTTTGCGATTGTTTTAGGTAGCTAGCATTGGTATGAAGAGGACCTCATGTAATTTAGAAGTGCTTCCTTTCTGGAAGTAACATTTAGCAGAGGAAATGCCTCTCTACTGGAGAATAGTAAATCACAAAGTTATTCTACAGAATACATGTCAGGCGAGTGCCTATAGTCTGAATGAGGTATGGGTGTTGGCTGGGTCCTGTCTTGATGGTGGCCCTCTTGTGATGGATATGTAAAACTGCTGTCTAATGTGCCTTCTGAAAAAGACAGATAGAAATTAAGATCTTCAATTGGAAATTATATGAATACCTTACAAAATAAGTTTTGGGTTGACACAAAAAAATGGAAATAAAAAGTTGAAATTGTTACTTTTACCAACCATTCCCTCAATAAAAAAAAAATTACCATTCTGGAGTATTTTAGGGCATAATCACCAAGTTCTAAGCACTGGAAGTGCGATATTTTCTATGTAAAACTTACCATTACTACTGAGATCAGTGTTGGTGGCCTGATCCTTCATCTGTGTTCCTGTATATGGGGACTGCTGCTCTCTGCTGGGACGCTTTCGCCTACGTTTGTGTTTTGCAGAGCCCTGAGAGGGATATGAATGCTCACTGGTTGTACCGAGATCATGTGACCTGGGGGTCTGACCTCTGACCCCTGATATGTGGTCATGTGACCTGAAAAAAAATCAAGCAAGCCAATAAGCAAATGGATGATAAAATGATTCAGCAGTTGACAACCAAAGGCATATCACCAATTCAAAAATCCATTAAATGCATGATCAAAAAGTAATTCCCTAGAATTTCCATTTTCATACAGTTTTGGACCAGACCAAGTTCTTATTATTTGTAGAAGTTCTATATTGAGACCAAAATGAGTGACATACCAAAATATATGCATTACTATTGCTTTGTAAATTGCATTTGTTATTATATCTGGACTTCAGAGCTGATCAGATAGTTTCAAAGACGGAAAAGGCAAATATACAAAGATATATTTGCCATATCCTATCACCAGCATGAATTGTATATTGCATTGCATTGCATTGCATTGCATTACATTATATAACCCAGTCATACCTGTGGACATAGTTATTATGTAACCTGATGGCACTGTAGTCAGGTGGGTCACTAGGTATATGATCACGTGATTGGGGAATATTGGAATTCATATGTTCTGAAAGATATATACCAACACTTTATTGACATAAACACATCAGAGATGATGGTAATTAGATAAAATGATAATAATGGGGAAAATAGAAAGATATCGCAAAGCGGTATAACCATTTAACTTCATCTGCTAGATATTTGTAAAAAATATATTTTTCATTAAGAGGTATCACATAAGAAAGTGAAAGAGTATGTGTCATTATGACAAACAAAAAATTTTATTTTCTATAACACACTCAAAACATGGAAATTAAGGTTCCACTGCACATAAATAGAGTTATGTTCAAAGACTCTGAAATAGCTGAGTGCAAATAACTCTGACATTTGATGTCGTTTTTGAAGAATAAAAAATTATTATAAAACAATTTTATGTCTGAAATAAAAAGAGCCAGTGGAAATACATTTTTGGAAGCTCACCTGTATTGTTATCATGGTATGATGGATAGGGATTTCTCTCTAAGGTATTATAATTACTGTCGTTAGGATAACCAAAAGTCTGCAGTGGACGATGAGGTAGAGTACTCTGTGTTGTGTACGGATCATCAGGATTTGACTGAAGAGGAAACTGATAACTTATCATCTTTTCATATTTTTTTTATCATGGATGAAAAATATGTGGAAGATTTTTAAGAATTCAGCGAATTTTTTTCAACCTTATGTAACTTTCAATATCTTAAGAAGATTCTTAGCATTTCAACACTGAAGATTTTAATGGCATCAACATGTAGATTTCCTAATTGAATTTAAACATAAAAATTACTTAAGTGAAGAATTCCAAATATATAGATCCCAAAATGCAACAAATACTTTCAATTCTCAACAAAATCAACTCTGTTCACTAACCTCATTTTCAGATATGGCTTCTTCTTCATTATCACTGTTATGCAGAGGCTCAAGCTGCGTCATTGGGTTCACATTTATATTCATCTTGCCATTGCCATTGGGAATATGGCCATTTCCTGCATGTCCATTGCTCAAATGTCCATTAGGGGTTTTCCCATTCAGGCCATTTAAGAGGAAGCCATTGCCGTGTTTTGCTCGCATGCTGTCATTGTGAATTCGTTGCGACGGGTCTTGGAATTTGTAGCGAGCATTTGCATCCAAAGCAGCTGCTAAAATATGGACCAAAATGGCTTATAAGCAGTTATTCTTTTTAAATCTCACCTCGATGTCAATTATGTTTGAATAGTGAAGCATTTTGCTGTAGATTTGGAAATAATCTAAAAACCACTTTCAGAGTATACTCATTTCAGGTTTGCAGAAAGGGAAACCCTTTTAACCAATCAGTATAACTTACCCATCATCCTCCTCTGCTGTCGTTGTTTCCAGGCGCACATGACCATGAAAATGACCAGTAACAACATCATCACGCCCAGGACTACCCCTAACACCATGTACAGCAGCTCATTGCTCTTCTGTGTGCTATTGGCTGGCACTGCATTGTCATCTTTGACATCATCTTGACCATCATCTAGAATTATACATTCATATATGTTGTTTACCTGCATACGATGAGAGAGAGAGAGAGAGAGAGAGAGAGAGTGCCTGTGTGTTTAATATTTTCTCTTTAATACTTTGTCTGCCTACTACCTAACCCTTTAATATAAAAAACACAATGGTTTAAAGTGTTTTGAAACAGTTATGCAAACACCACACAAAATCTGTGACACAAATGTTCACTTTTTTTTTCTTTGGACTTATAAATTTCATGTGTACCACCTACCTAAATGTGGGCCCAGTCCATTACCCGGAGGTCGCGTGACTGGGGTCAGAATACCTGTGGGGAATGGGGTGAACATAGGCTGACTGCCATCTGCAGCTAGAGAGAGAAAACAACACATTTTAACAACTCTTTATATTTCATATCCATTTTATAGAATCAAGCCAAATACATCACAGAATAAGTCAGAATATTATGGCGTTTTTTTTTTTATGTCATCAACATTATCTTCTGGCTTCTTATTATACTTAAAACTTATTTATAAAATCCACAAAAAGAGGAAATTGCTTTTACAAAACATAGCCACTCAGAAAATTTGAATAATAAAACAAATAGAAGGCGTTGGCTTTAATAAACCTGCAAAAAAAAAAAAAAAAACACAAAAAATCTATATCTTGTGTGAAAATAACATGGACAGACAAAGTTATCAGAATATAAACAGAAACATAGTGTCTGTACACAAAATAGCCTGGTATTCAGATATAATCCAGACATTAAAAAGCCATCATCAAATTATCAAATACCTAGAGTTTTCATGGCCACTTTATTGCTGAAATCACTAGCCCCAGCCAAATTAAAGCACTGCATCTTAAAGGAATACTGTGTATCAGGGGTGAGCCCTATGATTCTGTACTTGGTCTCGACTGGCGGCACAGTCACCTTCTGGCTCTGGGAATCTGGAGCATTGTACGGCTTATAATGGATCCAGAAGCCGTCTATTGGCCCTTCCCCAATGTGATGGGCATACTGAAATAAAATATTGGCAGAGAAGTCAGAAAACCAACCTCAGATGAGGATGCACCACAGTTCAAAAGAAGAATGTTAAGAATATAACACTAGAAATAACAAATGCTAGAAATGAAAGAGAAAGAAAAAAGCTTTCTATACTTTGTTTTTATAAAGAAAAAACAATGATTTTATGAAATACAAATTAAAAAAAAAAAAAAATATATATATATATATATATATAAGGAGCACACCGCAGTTCTCTCATTACAAAATAGTTTGTAACCTAAAAATCTGCAGATTACCTAAGTTTATTTTAATATTTCTGATTCAGTATCAAAAAATCCATACATACATTAAAACAAGAACATGTCCCCCTTGCGCTTACCTGCCATTCAATTTCCATAGCGTATGCTGATGGTTTGACCTGTACTATGACAGGGCCCACTTCAGGGGCGCTGGGGTGCGAGGTTGGGCCAGCGACAAGCGTGAAAGGAGGTGATGTGGGACCCACTGCATTGTCATTGTTAGAGTAAACGGCTGCAATTCTGAACTTGTATGAGTGGCCTGAAATAACACAGGAAGGCTGCAGGGGTGCGTCCAAGTTCAATTATAACAAATGGTCATGTCTCCAAAAACTGAGTACAGAGAACTTTGTAGTTTAATAGTATCCATCAACTTTTTTTTTCACTACTTCCATTCATCATGTACTTTCCATTTACACTGCTAAATAACATCTTCCGATCATTGTGTGATTAGAAAATATTCAATCAATATCTTTATCTGATCAGTAGACAAGGACAATGTTAAAATCTTGAATTTATCAATTTGCTTTACCCAGAGATAAAAGTGGACCTTTAAAAAGACTCCAAAATGCGGCAGTACATAGTTGTGTGGAGGCATAGGTACAACACCCAGAAGCCAGATTTTTGGATAGAACTGAAAGACCTTCATCTCAATTAAACAAAACTACATTTATCAAATGACCTTTACCTAAGCTAAGTCCCCGAAGCTCATATCTGAACTGGTTATCAGGAATGTCTTCATCTATTGTCCTCCACCTCCCCTTATTCCCTCTTCTCTTGTGTCTTTTGTACTGGACCCTGAACAGCGTCACTCTCAGCCCATCGTTTGGCGGCACGCTCCACTCCAACATCACGGAGGAGTCCGACAACTGAGTAACCGCTGGTCTCGAAGGTGGAACTTTCTTCCTCCCTCCGCTCCCTCGGTGACCTTGGTTCTCGCCCCTGCTGGAGGGAGTGGTCGGGGGATGACGCTGGGTGGTGCACAGTGTGGACTGTTTGTATCGAGGATTGTCTCGGCTTCTGTCAACTGATGCAGGCTCTGAAGAAAGTCACAACATTCATATCAAGGAACAAAGAACACCACTCAGGGAGGGTAAACATCTGCCATGGTAGCTTAGTTCTCATTATCTTTCATAAATTAGTAAGTACTAAATTGAATTAAAGATCATCATCAAAATCTGACCAATTTAAAGTTAGCGCATTTCTGAACTATCCTGAAAATTTAATTTCAAAAATGCCAATTACTTTAGGTTATTAATTTAAAAACCAACATAAACACAACAAAAACTCTTTCTTGGCAGGGATTACTTGTGAAAATTTCCTCTGCTCTCAGTTCAGAATAGTTATATTTAAATGCTCATCTTTGAAAACATATCAATATATCAGAAAAACATATTATTTCAGATAATTTTCAAACCAAAATATTTTTTACCAAGTATAATTTTGGGGCAATTTTATGTCACTCCATAAACCACGAAAACCAAACTGCTAAAATTCCATCATATTCTTTCAACTGGGTACCTTCAATGCCCAGTGCTAAAATTGATACACTAATCACCCATGTCAGCCAGCAAGCCATTTCAACATGTACCAATAAAATACCTCTCCTTAGGCATACACTTATTATGGACAGGAAAGAAACCTTGTCATCCCTATAGGAAGCAGTCTAATAGGCCAAGGAAAAACACCCATGGAGAGACTGTAGCCCCTTTCAGGATCAAGTTTGCGGAACTCAGATTTACCACACTCCTTCCTCGGGTTGTGTCAATAAACACAGTCAATTATATTCAAATTGATGTCAATTTCCTTGTAGAAAAAAAGCTACCAAGAGAGAACTGATGGATACCAGATGAAACAGAAACCTGCGACCAGGTGGCAAAAACCATCACCTGTGTGGGAGTATGTGAAAAATGATTTATTGTCATTATATAAAGTTTTTTTGGTATATCATTTTTGTGTTAAACAACCTGAACATGACTAACAACACATGTAAGTTGCCCATAAATCAGCTGTATATGAAGAGTTACACAGTGCAATGGGAGGGGGGGGGTGTTCTGATCACACATTTGTTAGAAAAAATATCCTTACATGAATAATGCACTAATGAATCTAATGGGATATAAACTGCAAGAATGAAGCCCAATACTATTCACCTTATTCAGTGCAACAAGGTGATCCAAAGTAAGGTAAATAAATGAAACTTTTTAATGGTCCACTGAATCCTTATTTTCCACACTGCACAAGAACAACTGACTTGATAGACGCATTTCTGTCTTTCAAAAGCTAGCAATTCTGCTCAAGTGTATATATCTGTACTGTACCAAAAACACGAACATTGGTTTTGCTTACTCTCATCAACTTCATAATGGCTGACAGAATTTTCAAACTCAATGAACATAGTGGACAGTCAAGAGATACCTGTTGCTTATATTTTTACAGTTTTTGGAAATGAAAAATACCAAACTACTTGCAGTTTATACCAAATCTTTTGGGTTAGAAGTGCACACTGAGTGAGGGTCAATCCGGGGCAGCGCTAGCATTTTTTTTTTTTTTTTTGCTTAGTTAAATCACTCATTTACTCTACTTTTTTCTCCAAATGGTTTTAAAATTGACTAAAACAAGCTAAATCAACCATTTTTTTTTTAGCCAATTTAAGTCAGTTTTACCATTTGGCTAAGTTTGGTGAGTTTTAGCGCCACCCGAGGACAATGCAGAGGACTTCAATACACAGCGTAAAGTTTACCTCTGATAGTAGCGTTCCCAGTAACCAGTAGATGAGCAGTAGCAATGGAGAACCCAAATCTATTGACAGCCACACACATATAAGCACCCGACTCCCACGGTTGCACATTAAATATCTTCAAAGACCCATCCTCAATAATATGGCGTGGGTCTGGCCTCAAGGGGCGCCCCTCTTGCCTCCATCTCAACTCGTCTGCACCCTCAGCGATACAGTACAACACCGCCATTTCCCCGACTTTACGTTCAGTATTAGCTGGACGTAAAGTGAATATTGGTTTGTTGGGATGGTCGTTGTTACTGCTGACGCCGTCCATATTGCTGTTGCTAGAGTCACCATTATTGCTGCCACTGTTAGTGCTGGCAATACTGCTGCTGGTGGTAACAGCGGATGGGGAGACTGTGAAGCAAACGGTGCAATGTTAGTAGTTATGGCAAGCTAGCAACATTGATGGAACAATACAACCAACACCATGGAAACTCTGGATAACATCTCACATACATGACATGGGCAGATTGAGAATGTCATGTGTGTGTGTGTGTGTGTGTGTGTGTGTGTGTGCGCGCGTGCTAGCATGTGTTCCTGTTTGTTTGAGTAACTCTGCCAATGCATACCAAGAGGCAAAACACTGCATTTTTCAGTGAGATGGTTAAAAGTATAATATACATCCAATTACTTTTTCTATAATTTTAATAATGCTGTCATCATAGCCAATGTAAAGTGTAAGAATTTATATTTTTCACTGATGATGTCATACCAGAGTTCCTATGTTTTAAGTGCAAACGTGATAATAACTTGAAGGCAGTGAAAGTGCAGCAGCATACTAATATAGTGATGTGTAGTATAAAGTTATCAAATATTTCAATGCTGAACAAAAAACGTAAGCCTATTTGACCTCCCCATTGTTGTCATATATGTCACCATCGAGATAAATCTAAGCAATCTATCAAGTTTTGATGCTAGTTACAACTTAGGCTAGATGAGATTTATTCCAAATATACATAAGGCCTCCACTGCTTAACTGTGATACAAATTATATTTTTAGCCCAACTGTGATGTAAATCGGCCGTCTGTCCTGGACAAAACGATCACATAGTTGTATTTCAGATCAGTAACAGTTTTTAGGACAAACAGATTTTACTAAGCGATATACATTAATATGTTTATCTCTCCAATTCAATTCTGACTGCTCAATTTGATGATATTGAGAAAGTTGAAACATCTTTTTCCTTTATTTCTTGTGCTTCTACTCACAATTCAGGTTATATAAAATATCTATCTATCTAGCTTCCTCACCTGGCCCGTCATCTGGCTGTATGTCCTGAACATTGCCATCGTCATCTGGGATCTTGGGTGCCTGCAGAAGCTTAAATCTCTCAGTGTTGGGACTGACTAGTTCCTCACCATTACTGTACACTGCAGCTATCCTGAACTTGTATGGAATTCCTAGGGAGGAAAAGCATGGGGTTTTATGATACATCACCTTTGGCCAAACATGCTATTAAATAAAGAAATTGGTGTTTGGATATATGTAAAACAAGAGAATTAAAAATGAATAATAATGAGGTTTGAGCAGTCTTGGTGTATGTGCTTTCACAGTTTCTTCCTTTTTAAAAATTAATTTATCAACTTCTTTGACACTTCTCGTAAGTATCATCTTTTTGTACATTTGACTTTCTTTATTTTGCTAAAATGGAACTCTTTTGCAGAAAATCACAAGAAAAAGCTTACAAGAGCCCAGCCATCAAAATGACCTCTGTTTACCTGTACGCAGTCCTTGGAGAGAAAACATGCAAGCGGAGCAGGCGGAGGTGTTAGCATGGGTCTTCCACACCCCTTCCTCCTTATACTGCACCTTGAAGTACTTCACAGGGGTCTGCAGGTTCAGGGGCACTGACCACTTCAGAAGAACCATGTTTTCCTCGATCTGCAGTACCTCTGGCATGGTGGGAGGGAGGACACCGTCTGAAAAACAGGTAATATAAAATACATCACTTTGCAGTTTGGGCAGTCGACACAAGCACCATCTATAGTTCAGATAAGCACCATCTATTGCTGCCAGCAGTGACCTAAGCCACTGGTTATATCATGAGTGTCAGTTTCATTGACTTCCGACAAAGGGCACACCATCATTAAGGTGATGATTTTTTCCCTTCCTGCATCATGTAACTTGGATTCTTTAGTATACTAATTGTAGTTAATTTATTTGGGATGACTTATTGTTTGCACTGAGATAAACAGTTTACATAAAAAAAAATTAATTTACTTTCTCTCTATTTTTCTTTAGGTCTCAAGATACCTTTGACTATTTAAACTTTTTACCTATACTTTATTTCTACTTCTCCATCCACAGACAGACAGACCTTTAAATACACTTCCAAACATTAATAAAAACAAAATGACAAACAGGCACACAGACAGACAAAAGCATTACTTTGTGAAGAACTAGACGCCCCTTCCTCTCCACCCTCAGAGCCCCCTGGTGGCTGATTGGTGGTGCTGTTGCTAGGGATCACAGTCAACATGGCGTAGGCATAGGTGGCACCATACTTGTTGCTAACCAGGCACTGCCATATACCAGAGTGGCGCATCTGGATGTTGGAGACTGTGATACTGGTGTCTGAAAACAGTTCGATTTTTGTATATATCAATTAAAGATAATATAAATATGAGATAAACCATCCGGCTTAAACACTAGCATGCTATCTTGTATAATTTTTTTTCTTCCTCTCCCTTTTTTAGATTTAAACTAAGATTTATCAGAGCAGAACAAATAATTAGAACTTATAAAACAAGCATGCATAAAGGGAAAATAACATATAAATTCTATTATAGGAAATTTTTTTTTTAATTATCAGGACAAACAAATGTTTTTGATGGTGCAATTTCTGAGCTATGTTTCTATGGTAACGGGAAAGCTTTAAATGTTATACATCAATTACACAAAAACACATATCCTTTACAGAGAGCATGCAGATTTCATATATTCCATGCATTCTTATACAGAGAGAATTTTTTTTTAATCCTCTAAAACATGCTTTTTTCTGTTTGACAACAACAAACTAGTACGCATTTTGAAACGCTTACCATTTTCACTTACTGTGGCCCAATGATAAGCAAAGGGAGAAGATTTCAGTCAGTGACAATCAATTATCTTAAGTCAATCATCTTATCTGTGTACCTTATTTTTGTCTTCCATTCACAAAGGTTCAAGAAAAAACAATTTATACAGAATGTCCTCTCTATATGCCTTAAAGTTAAAAACAATCAACACAGTGACATTTTCTAATTCACATCGTGTTAAATTTGAAAGAATCTGAAAAACTGACAGTTGCTTTGAGTGCATGTCACAGTGTGTGTGTGTTTGGGGGGGGGGGATCCACAAAGTTATTTTAAATCCTATTATTTTAAACATCAACTCTTACCTTGCACCTGTATACTCTGATCAGTGTCTGGTACAGGCTCCCCGTCATGGACCCACTGTGTCTTTATTCTGGCTGTGCCATATGTTTCACAGTGAAATGTCACGCTGTCTCCTACTGTTACCACTTTGTTACTGGGGGCATTGGTTATCTCTGGTGGGACTGAATCATGAAACAAAGTATGTGAGATGTAATTCTGACGTATTTCATTTAATAAAATAGAATAATAATGACAAATAAATCAAAAGTAAATAAATACATGTAACAATTGTACGAGCAAAAAAAAAAAAGTACTTGAAATAAATACTAATACATAAACAGTGCAATTTTATTGTAAATACACCCAAAACATGAAATCAAATCAGCTGTTAAAAGGTGAATATTATGTTTGCCTTCAAGTTCAAACCAAATTTGGACTCAGTTCTTTACTGAACTTTGGCATAGATAAAAATCCCAGCCATCAAATTGTCATGTTGTCTGGAGTCAGTGTTAGAAATTAACGCTGGACCGTCTGCCCGGGGCTGAAAACTTCCAGAACGAGCTGAGAAGTTTTCCCACCTGGCAGACATTCAGTCCACCTACTTTTCAAGTTGGCTGGACTTTCAGTCCAGCGACTAATTTTCCTAAGAGGCAACACCGGCTGGAATCATATCTTTCACCACACCCATTGTGTTAGATGTGACTGGTAACAATGCTCACCTAACACATCCACCATTGCTATAGCTGTGACTGCTGAGTCCACCTCATTGTCTCCTCGGCATATATACGTCCCTATGTCCTGAATCTGGACATTTTCTATCAGCAGAGTACCTAGAATCAAAAAGGAAAATATCATTATCTGCATCATGCATAGTATAGTATGTTATTGGAGAGTAGGTACTTTATTTAATTTTCATTGTTACTTCTTTATCAATTTTTTTTAGATCTTGAGTCAAAAATTTATGAGCAAATCAGTTAATTTCAAGTGTCCATCCACTGTGTATATTAATGAGCTTGAATGTGGGGAGGGGTTAATGTCACTGTTAGAGTGTAATCAGCATTTAATTTTCATACATGTGGTTATTCAAATTACAATATTCTATTAAAATGTAATATAAGGCAATCTACTTATTTTAAATTCTTCCCCATAGTTTGGCATTTATACTTCAGAATGAATAAGCAGAATATGCCAGAGATTTTAACCTAAAGAAAATATCTTTTCGTAACAGTCAGCCTGGTTCAGGAAGCATGCAAATCCATTTCACACACGCCTCATAGATCAAAGTCAGTGCTGTATTCCCAACAAGAAAAAATAGAAGTTAGGAACCAGCCGACTGTCACAAGTCTCTCACATATCAGGATGAAGGATACAGCATACCCTTTTCGTTCATTAAATAAACCTTAATCACTCACTCGCACATTCTCTAATGTTACTCAGTAATTGCGGAGAAAAACACTGAAAACCAAACACCAGAGGATGCGTTAGAATACAATCTCTGAAACGGCACCAAAGCCTCCCAAAACAGCTCCAGGCTGTGGAGCCTAATAAGAGAGCTCCCTCCTCTCTCTCTGTGGTTCCGTGACTCTGTTTGCCTAAACTTTCAACATCTGTTGTTCTCTGCCATGTTGACAGTTGTTTTTTGTTGTGTGGGTCTTGAACGCAGCTGGACGGCAGTGGTACTAAGGGTTAATCAAAACTGCTACTGCTGCTGAGACTGGGAGCAAAAGGGCCTGTAAACTGTGGAGTTTTATAACCTTTGTTTCTTTTTTCTGGAGCAAAGTTCCTACACCATTCATTACTAATACACCTTTCATTGAGTTTTCACCTTTCAAAACATTTGTCCACCTTAGACTCTATTTGATGAACCAAGTTATGAAATTTGTTTTGCGTAGATAAATTTTTCACAAAAAAATCCTTTGTCCTTAATAATGAAAGAATCCAAAATGCTCTCACTTTTACCACAACACAGACAGAAATTAATCATAGAAAACAGTTAA